GGAGCATGTGACTCTTGATCTCAGGGTTGTGAGTTTGAGCTCCACGTTGGGTGTAGAGATTACTTAAAAAAAAAAACAAAAACCTGTTTATATGAGTTGATGGACAGAAAGTTCTAGGTACACTAAGCACACAGCAGGCACTCAATAAAAGGGAGCTCTGTTGATTCTCCGGAACTTTCCGTCCTCCTCTCCCCTCTGTTCCCATCTGCTTCTGGTGGACAGGCCCTTCCTCTGCAGGCTGCTCTTCCTCTCCTCACCTGTGGTGTCCCGGCAGTCACAGCACTCCTGGGCATTGGAGGGGTCAGAAGTATTGCAGCAGTGTAGACAACGACTGTCATCCATAAGCAGCACCAGGTCGGCGGGGCACACAGTGCAGTTCTTGGTGCCGGGTCCCTTGCATTCCACGCAGCTTTCGTGGCATTTTTCACAGTTAAACTTCTCCCCCTGTTAAGAACAATTGGGAGATTCTTTCTGAGTGTGGAGGCATTGACAAGCTGCTGGAGTTTCCAGGTGGGAGTTCTATCTTGCCTCCATTGACGGAGGGAGGCACGTGGGGGACAGGAGCCAGATAGCTTTGCTCTGGGTCCATTTTAGCTGTTCAGGGTGGAAGGCAGAACCGACTGCACGTGGAGGAAATCGCTGCTGGGTCTTTCCATCTGAGATCTGCTGGCCACAACAGTGGGAGAACAGGCTTCTAGAACAGCTCAAGTTGCACACTGGTGGCTTGTGTGCTGTACCTGGTCAAGGACACGTTTTGTCTGGCTCATCCCAATTGACCTTCACAGTTAAAAAAATTTTTTTCAGTTCCTTGCCCACGTTCAAAATGAAGATATTCCACTTGTAAGTCAGTTCCTAATTTCTCTTTAAGAACTAGACTGTCAGGGGCACCTGGGTGGCCCAGTCGGTTGAACATCCCCCTCTTGATTTTGGCGCAGGTTGCGATCTCAAGGTCATGATCTCACGGTGGTGAGATTGAGCCCCGCACCGGGCCCTGCACTGGCTGTGCGGACCCTGCTTGAGATGCTGTCTCTCCTTCTCACTCTGCCCCTTTTCTGCTCGCACACACACATGCACACCCATGCTCTCTCTCTCTCAAAAAAAGAGGCACTAGACGGTCAACAAGGTCATCACAACCACGTGGCAACATCACAGACAGCTGAGGGGCAGTGGCTCCCTTTTTGGGCTCTCCTAGTTGACACGACCCCAGCACTTGCTCTGATGTCACCAAGACAGGTGACACGTCAAATTCCACTTTTCATCAAGCTTGCGCTGGGGTTTCCTTTGCCCCAACACCCTTCGCTCATACACATTCAGCTACTTGGCCTCCATGGTTACTAGATTCTTTTGGCCCTGCCCCCCGAATATTATTTGTGACTCTTTAGCTGAAATAGTTAAATCTCCATGAGAAGAATCAAGAGATAAGGAGAAAGTGGCTTCCCTCCTGACAGGTTGCTTCTTTGCTGGTGCTGAAAATGTAGATGAGGGAAGATATCTTTATATTTTCCTTGTGTGCTGTGGGAAAGAAGGAATGGAAATTGCCTTTGTTGAGCACTTTGGCCATTTCCGGTGCTGATAAGGCGCTTTCTCAGCTGTTACTATCTTATCAAATCACGGATTAGCTGTCCGAAGTCCTGGCGTCAGTCCCAGCTTTGTTATTTACTGTTTATGTGATCTTTAGAAAATTATTCAGTCTCTTGGAGCCCCAGTTTCTTCAAAGTTTAAGGATTAAAAGAGAGCTCATATGTGAATATGTCGAGTCATGTTAATTTCACCATGGGGGGAGATTTACCTAATTTCATTTGTTTTTAAGTTTATTCATTTATTTTGAGAGAGAGAGAGCACGCACACAAGCAGGGAGGTGCAGAGAGAGAGAGAATCCCAAGCAGGCTCCACACCATCAGCACAGAGCCCGACTCGGGGCTCGATCTCCCAAACCATGAGATCATGACTTGAGCTGAAACCCAGAGTGGGACTCTGACTGAGACAGCCAGGTGCCCCGAGATTTACTTAATTTGTAACGTTTGGAAACATAAGAAGTTAGGGAACTCAGAATATCCATGATTTCTAAGCAAGGAAATGAAATCTCTCTCTCTCTTGTTTAAAAATTATTTATTTTTGAGATAGAGAGAGGAAGAAACAGAGAGACAGGGAGACACAGAATCCAAAGCAGGCTCCAGGCTCTGAGCTGTCAGCACAGAACCTGACTCAAGGCTCGAACTCGGGAATGGTGAGATCATGACCTGGGCCGAAGTCGGACACTGAACTGGCTGAGCCACCTGGGTGCCCTGAAATCTCTCTCTCTCACTACACTGTGGCGGGGTGGAGGAAATGAAAAGCAGCAGTTTTGTAGTTCTGACATTATTCAGGCATTTCAGGTTAGACAGCAGAGGGGTAGGAGACAAGATACTTATTTCTGATATAAGGGGACCTGAAACTTCCAAGGTCACAAGCAAGGAACGTAGAGTTAAATCTGAGGTCCTCATTACCTAACTTCCCCCTTATTTATCTCAGGTCATCTCAGTCCCTTTGATTGAAGTTAAGGCTGCAGGTAGGTAGCACCATTATTCCATGATGCATTGGTAGAAGATTTAAAAAGTAGAGCGAGTGTAGGAATTTTAGGACTTTTTGACTTTGCCCAGAATACACGCGGAAACTGGCTCCCATGCCTCTGCAGAAATGGCTAGGGCCATGGGGCTCAGTCAGTTAAGCGGCCGACGTCAGCTCAGGTCATGATCTCGCGGTTCTTGAGTTTGAGCCCCGCGTCGGGCCGTGTGCTGACAGCTCGGAGCCTGGAGCCTGCTTCGGATTCTTTGTCTTCCTGTCTCTCTGCCCCTTCCCTGCTCGCACTTGGTCTGTC